GTATAAGAGACAGGTACAGTACAGTATACCTTACAATTAACAAGATAGCGTACAGTACCGTGTACCTTGCAACTGCCTTAGTTGATATATTTATACAGATTGTGGGGGTCAAAAATTGATTACAATTTTTTCAAATCCCTAAATTGTCAAAGCTTCCATGGGCTTCACGTTCCCAGAACAAGAAACAAATTAAATAGGCTTACCACAAGTCTCATTCTACATGACTTTTTAGCTATAGAAATAATGATTAATGGTGGGAAGCATGTTTTTTACAAGTAATAAAAATACAAAAATGTCTTGCCATATCTTCATTCATGTATAAAAACTCAGGCAGACAAATGGACCTTAATACCCTGGCATGAGTTACTACTATGGTATATAATAATTAATGTGTATAATTTTATATCAATTATATATATAATTTTTAATTATTCAGGTGCTGATGTACGCTTATTGGAAAAGCCTGCAGGGCAAATTTTCACACCAGAGGAAGTGGCTCAGGTACGGTAGGTTTACATTCTCCAGAAACATTTAAAATTCACATTTAAAAAAGGCAATGGCTGTAGTTACACCATTATTCCTGATTCTGACTAGATAATATTGTCCTAATCCAATCCTTACATGCAATAATATCCAATCAAATTACTGGAACTGGTACGGGCATTTATAATGCACCTCTTTCTTGCAGTTCTTTTCCCTGGTCATTGGGTACACATGCTAAGTGTTAGTGCTGGTAATCAGCGTAGGAGCAGGTAATCCCACAAGGTACCCATTCCCGCTGCGCCGAACCGCTTCCGATTACAATGTTTATAACTGGTGTAACAATAACCACAGACTTTAATAAATATAATTTTTAAACAAATTAAATAAAATGAGTACATACATGTTTTGCAGGCTGTGAAGGAACACAAACCATGTGCATTTTTCATTACTCAAGGGGAATCTTCATCTGGACTACATCAGCCTATAGAGGGCTTTGGTGAAGTGTGTCATGCACATGATTGTCTTCTGTTTGTTGACACTGTTGCCAGTTTAGGAGGGCTGCCCATGTTTGCTGATGACTGGGGTATGTTTTTTTGTGTCCTAATCGTTGTTCATGCCTTGCTGACACTCTTTGCAAATGTTTACGTAAACATATGTTTATTTTGAAAGCAAAACATTTCACTATAAAACACACAAACTAGTTAATAACAAGTTCATTCACTGTAGACACACACACTTCTATAAAATAGTATGTTATGTAATACAAATACTGCTAGATTGCTGTTTTCGTAGTCTGCTGGATCTACCTTTGTATGGCATTTTTTATGTTACAAGAATTGATGGCAATTGATGACAGCAATTATTGACGTCCAGATATGGAATTAAACTCAGTTCAAATTTTATTTCAGACATCCATTGTCTCCAAAAATAAAGAAAATGAGTAATATTAAACGTACATTTGTAAGAATGAGGTGGAATTAACAGTAACCAGAAACAGTGTAATAAATATAGGTCATCATAAAAGGAGATATGATAAGTAAAGTTCATGATGATAATAATCAAATCAATTGTTATAATGTCTATAGGGTCAGTCAGTCGTTATAATTGTATATTGTAGGCGTTGATGTGATTTATACAGGATCTCAAAAGGTGCTTGGATGCCCACCAGGCACAGCGCCAATATCATTCAGTCAAAAAGCATGGTGAGAATTGTAGCTCTTTTATTTTTTTTAATGTATTTCATTTTATTTTCTAGCTCCTTTTTATTATTGCTCTTGCAAATTCTCTTCTGCTTTTCATTATATATTCAGGACATTTAAATTACAAAGACTCTTTGAATTAAAAGAAAGTTGTTTCTTTCTTGTTCAGAGACAATCCACTAGTTTTCTTCTGCATACTAAGTTTATAAAAAAAAATGCTAACTAAAGGTGGCCCAGTAATATTAAATTTTATTATTCAACCTAGCCGAATCAATAAGAAAGCAGCTTGAGAATGAAATTGAGCTGCATCAAATGTGAGGGGAAAATCCAGGATAATTAAATGAACAATTGGGGAAGGGTGATTTTGCAGTGAGGGGGATGACAATGAAGATGTTCATGGTTGAGTGCACAGTGACTTACTCACAAGTTAGCCAGTCAAACAGATCCAAAGAATTTAGCTATTGATAGTAACCAAAATTTGGAATTTTATTCTGTATGTACAAAAATACTTAAAATATTGGCACATCATAATAACAATGATATTGAAGAATGCATTCATTTATATTGGTTTTTTTTTTCAGTGAGAAGCTTGCATCTAGAAAGACCAAAGTGCTATCATATTATTTTGACATGAATGAACTAGGAAACTACTGGGGAGCTGATGACCAACCAAGAAGGTAACAACAAAAATACAATATTTATTTATATAGAGTTTCATTGAAGCTTTTATTTAACTATACGGTTGTTCTGTGGCAAAACAACGTAACATGAAATTTTCACTTTTGTAGACAATTAGAGTTAAAGTTTGCATGTTCAAAACTTTGCAATAAATTGTTGTACCCTTTTGAAATTTTGTAGGATTGTATATCTATAGACATAGTGATTATATGTGAAATTTTAATTACACAACTGTTTGTTTATTGCAAAGTTATTAGCAATAAAAACAACAATTTCTAACAATTTGTTGATGGCTGCTTGAGAAATGCCAAGAGCAATTCCTAAGCTTTCTTACAATATATAGTCTTCTATAGCTTACTTCTTTAAATTCTTGAGCTAATGCTGTTTAGAAATGGGGCGGTCAAGTTTTGCGCAGATTATGTGTATTTGCGTGGATTATGTGATTATGGAAAAATCCATTGCTCCTACTTTGCCATTTGTTTCCACCATTGTCCCTGTATAAGGTTCCTTTGTTTAATGCTCTTTTTAGGCTTTTCTCTCCAGTTATGTTTTTTTCAAAATCCTTTATCCCTGTTTTTCGTTAAGGTCCTTGTTTATCTATTTTTTTTGTTTTTTATTTCTAGTTTTTGGCTATAAGAATAATGCACATCCACTTGGGGCAAAAATTACCTTACATTTGATTGGCAAATATTGGTTTTAATTATTATTTTAACACATTTTGCAGGTATCACCATACTGGACCAATAAGCAACTTTTACACTTTAAGAGAAGGCCTGGCTATGTTGGTTGAAGAGGTAAGTTAAGTATAGAAAGGTGTAAGCAGAGCCCTGTGGGACCTAATGTTGTATTGTGTCTATGTTAACAGGAGCTTAAGCTTGGTTTCCATACAATCGCTGCATGCTATCGCTGACAGCTTTCGGTGATGCTGATTGGTCAATTGAATTAGGGAGCCTTCTCGATGGCGTCAGGGACTGCTACGCAGTAAAACGATTGCAATGAAAACACTGTAGTGATTTTCAAAATCTGACAGACAATTTCATAGTGTATGCCAGACCATTCCGATTTAGCAGGTTGTTGACAAAGTTTATTCTGTCAAGGGGTCAATATCAAGCAAATATATTTTTTGGAGGCCGAAGAGAAAAAGACCAAGTTAGCTTTGACAAAGTTTGAATTATCATATATTGAAAAAGAGTGTTTCATGTCACTCGAGATCAGTCAAGACATTAGGAAAAATTAACAACCAATTATTGAAGGAAATTGTCATTTTAATAACGAATGACAAAAACAATAAATACATAGATACATAAAATGGGCAGCCGCCAATAACTTGTACATAGTCTTATTCAATGTAATGTACAGGCTGCCTAAAAGATTGATACACTGTAGTCAGTACAGTACATCTAATTACGGTAAGTTATTTGACTTGGCATTTAAATTGTACATTAACACTCAAAGAACACATGCTTAAACTTCAGTGTGTTATAATACATCATGAACATAAAAGAGTTGTAAAACTAACTTATCATTTATAAAATAGAACATAATGTAATAATCATAACACCAGTTAAGTAATAAATAATCTGGGTGAACACGCCCAATGGTAACAAGGGGGAAGCTGGGGAGGAAGGTCGAAATTAATAAATTGATGTTATACGGTATTAAAATGTTATAGTAAAAGACCACATATGGAAGATGCATGCTATTAAATTACCCACACTACTTATAATCCAATGATATAGTGCCTCCATGAATAATCGCCAAGATTCGGCCCTCATGGGACACAAATACATTTTTCTTCATTTTTACGCACAATACTGTTTTTCGTCAAGTCTCTGAGGTTACCAACAGTGACAGCAGTAGAGGTTCCTGATGGTGTCAACTGGAAAGAAGTTACTGATTACATAATGAAAAAGTATGTTAAACATTTGATTTTTTAACTTTGGGTCCTTCAACAGCAAATCAAACACTCTTTTAAAATGTATATAGCCTTTGTAAATGTAATTATTATTATTATTATTTAAATGCATATGAACCAAAATCTAATTAAAATGGAAAGATATAAATTTTTTAAAATACCGTAACATGCTAAAAGTACAAAGAAAAAAATGAGATTTCAGCTGCATTCACATCTGATCTGAACCGAAATTTTGACCGCGTTTCCGAAGCGCTGAACTCCATTCTTAAATTTTGTGTTGAGTGGACTCTAGGCCTTTTTCAAAGTGGCTGAGAATTCAGATGTTTGTTTCAGAGAGCTGGAAGTAGCTCACCTGTTACAGAATTTTAAAAATATGTTATATAAACTAATTCTCATGAGTGATTCTAACCTCTGAGCTCCAGTCTCAATAAAATATTATTATTCAAGGAAATATTGCAGTTAACAATTATGCATTGCTTCATTTTACTAGGTACAAAATTGAAATATCTGGAGGCCTTGGAGAGACAGCTGGCAAGGTAATTAATATTAATTTCACGAAAGATAATAATGATAATAATTGTGATTTAAAGATAATAAAGACAATAATAAAGATATAAATTAAAAAAAAGATAAAGTAAGGATAAAAAAATTAAATATGTATCTAAATTTCACTTAAGGAGCTTAAGTAACATGAACTTATATTTAATGACTTAATCATCAATTAGAAAGATGTCTGCCTTCTGGCCAACTTTTATATTATATAGTGAACTTCGATGTAATTTTGATGTATTTTATTTTTTACCTATTTAGATTTGGAGGATCGGATTGATGGGGTACAACTGTAATGAAGAGAATGTAACTCGGATTGTCAACGCACTCGATGATGCTCTCACCACACTTCACAAATAATTCCCATTATTCATCCCTTTTTGTTCCTATTGAGTTATCTTAGCATCACTCACTAGGTCTGTGCATCTTTTGTTTTTTTTTAAGCATGCAAACTTGTAAACCAAATATGTATATGGTCAGCAGCTGGCTGCAGTAGGTTACAACAGGCCCCAGTGCAAGGAAATTGCCAGACACAGAAGTAAAGCATCAACCGATTGCCATAGTTCAAAATTCTGGTTTAAGTGACTGAGTTTTGGCCATTTTAATTTCTTACCTAAATGATTGCACATTATGTTAGTGATGATATTTAGCAAGTGCCCTTTTACCACTCAGTAGATCTGTGCTTTTGTCACAAAGGGATTTTTTTAGTGGCATTTTTTTATATAGAGTGTATACAAAAAAATATATACAGTAATGGTGTTTGCTATACACTGTATTTTTGAGAGATTTAATTACTGCTGCCTTCCCAGAGACTGGATTTGTATATTAATCATTATGCGATTACGAAGCAAGTTGCTAAGATATAGCATTAATTATGTCATTAAAAGTGTACTTTTATAATTGTTCTTTAAATAATAAATAATAATACAGTAGTGATAATGATGCTGTTGATAATTATGGTTCTCCTATTAATAATGATAATAATATTGATGATGATGATGATGATGATAATTATTTGTAATGATATCTGTAATACAAAAAAGCATAGATATATAAATTGACATTCCTACCATATTTAAAAATTCAAGAAGATAGTGATGATAGATATATATTTTTTGGCCTTAACTAGTATATAATGCTTGGCCTATATACCTTTAACATTTATGTAGGCTACACATTCCCAACTTTCTTGGGAGTATTACAGTTTGGCAGGTCAGTTGGTCAGAGTGCTTTAGTACTTTGCCAGTCCTTAACGATAGGTGCCAATTTTTACAGTTCTCTTTTTTGTCTGATTGTGCTTACTGTTATGTTGTGCATCAGCCTGATTGTATATTTGGTTTTTGTTTTCATGTATCAAAAAAAGTTTGAATAAAGAATGTAATATAATAAACTTTAATATAACATATTTTATATATTTTGATCATTTATATTTAGTGTATACACAAGTTGGTTTTTCAGTGTATTAAATTATCAATACAATCAAAATATTATATAGGACCCTGGGTCTAAATTAATTTGTTTGAAGGGCCAAATTATTTTTATAGTTAATCTGACAGGCCAAAGATAATCTCAGCCGAGTTGAAAGCAATTGTTATACATCTTTCTTCGCTAAGATAGAACTTTAAAATTATAGGGGCCTACTTTTAAATTGTACTTGGCCTACACCAACGTTCATGACCCAAAATTGGGTCACAGGAAATTTGCGTGTAGACGTGTCATCAATTTAACAGGCCCTAATTTTGGGTTACTCACTCTTTATTGCGCTTAGTGCGCGTCATACCTAATTTAATTCGGACTTGTGGCAAGTCTGTTAACAGGTTCATCAGTCAAAATACAAAAGTTTTCCGCCTGTAGGCCTATACAGTAAGCATGTAAGGAAAATTAGCGGAATGTATTTTTTATGAGCACTGTTGATACACCAACTTTTTAATACCCCGGTAAAGTTAAGAATGCTACGAATCACAGTGAACAGAACAAAATACAGAGATAGAACTTGGCGGCACAAAAGTCTTGAACAGAAGGCTATTGACGAAACACAATGATCAAAACAAAACAACTTCCTGTATGACTTGAATTATTTGCTGGACAATCGAAATGTATTTTTATAAGCACTGTCCTTTGGATTACTAGCTGTTTATTATCATGTAAAATAAGTAGGCTTACGAATGTTGCATTGACGATAAAACCTAATAGACGCATTGCAAAGTAACCTAAATCTATTGTGTTTTTCCTTGACATAAGAATGGGCTTCTTTTACCATGGGTCATAACATCAGACCCTGGCAATCGTTAAAATTTTATCATATTTGATAAAGTTTCTACTTTCTCTAGGCTGCTGTTTTAAAGCATGGAGGAATAAAATAAAATAAAATCTATTTTATTCCTCCATGGTTAAAGTTAGCAAAGCTAATAAGAATACCAATTTTGGGATTATTTTATTTTATTTTTTTTTATATATAGTTCCGTTTCTAATTAACCCTGTCTCTTATACACATCTAGATGTGTATAAGAGACAGTATATATATATATTGTTTGTGAAACACCACGACTTTTTACACATGACTTGACTTAAAGCAGACTTTTACTTTAACATATTGAATGTTGATGATTCTTTTATTTATTGTATTAGATTTCAAAACAGCCAACATCAGTGAATGATGTGGTACCATCAGGTGTTGCTCCCCCACTTGGAGGAGTCACAGACTTTGGAATCCCACGTGGATTGGAATACCTTGCTCAGATTGACCAGGTTCTTATACACCAAGCAGTTGAGCTCGTTGAAGGTAGGATAATAATATCAATAGTGATGATGGTGATGCTAGTGGTGGTGATGATGATGAGGATGATGGTGATAGTGATGGTTATGATGATGGTGTTGGTGGTGGTGGTGAGAATAATGGTGAGAACGATGATGATAATGATTGATGGAGATGATGATAAATATGAAATAAATAACGAAAACAAGTAGCAAGACCGATAACGACACCAATAACAAATACATTATCAATCAGGGGCGGATTCCCTTCCCCCTCCCTTTTGGAAAGTTAAAAAAAAGAAAATATTTTCGAGTGACTAGGAAACATCAATTTCGGGGGGCATGCACCCGCACCCCCTGGGGTGGTGTTATCTCGGTCGGCCTCACTTTCACCCCACCTCCCCCACTGGTCATCCCTGTCAATAACAAATAATAAATATAACAATCACAATATTAATGATAACTACAACAATCTCCTTACTATTATCAAGCACACACAACCAATAGCACATCAGAAACCAAAAATACAACCATACGACGACACCAACCCGCAGGGGCGGATCCAGAGATGTGGGGGGGGGGAGAACGAAAGGGGGTCGAAATTTGGGCCTATCGAGACAACAATGTCCTACAGGGTCCGGGCCCCCGCGAAATTGTTGTGTTCTAGACACCCGAAAATAACATTTGAGGCATTCTGGGCTATAATTTTTTTCTTTTTCTTTCTTTTTTTCTTTCTTTTTTCTTTTTTTTTACCTCCCAAAAAGGGGGGGAGCGGGGCCGGCCGCCCCCCCCCTAAATCAGCCCTGAACCCGAAACCAGAACCAGCCAGTGTCACACAATCAGAAATTCAACATAAACTCGTCATATAATTTAGTTTTTATCGCTTTGTACCGAAACGTTTTCAAAGGGCTCGAGGTGTGGACTTAAGCTACTGTAACTTGCTTCTTCTCTAAGCGTCTCTTCGTGTCTTTTCACTTTTTTTCTTTCAATTTTGCACAGTTTTTAGTGGATGGGAGAGCAAGAACCGTTATGAAATTAAGAACACACTTGGACAACAGATATACTTTGCGATGGAAGGTAATTAGGCCTAGGCGTATGTGATAAGTATGTTTAAGGGTGTTACCCATGGAGTCCAGGGCACCAACGCCTCTTTGTGGGGTCCGAGAGAAGAGCTCTTGTAGGGTTTAGAGGTCCTCTGCTTTGTAGTTTATAAATGGTAAATTAGTATCCATCATTTTGAGTTTTTTAAGCAAGGGGAGAGGGTGAATTAATTTATTAGGCCTAGAGGTGGTTCGCCCTTCAAAGAGAGGGTTCAGTCGTACCATGTAAACACGTACGCTGGTTACGCGGTGTTAATCTTATCAATAAAACCATGGTTTCGGTCTATTATTTTATTCAGAGTTAAATCGTTTCTTGAAAATACACAATATAAAAGATGTTAATTACGATTTAGAACGATCCTTTAAAAAATTGTTCTAATTAACCTTGTTTTATGAAAGTAAATTTCAATAATACAATTTAATGTTTATCGCAGTGCGCGTTATCTTCGCGGTGAGAAAAATTATGTATTTCTTTTGATAAACTGTACAAATTAAATTTCATAAATCTGTGTTTTTCTTCGTAAGAGTCTTCATGCCTAATGCGACAGTGTTGTAAGCAAGGCCGCGGTTTCACCATGCACATCACAGACAACAATGGCCAGGTACTGAAATTGTTTTTCAATGTTTTATATATTGTTGTATAACTTTTGTAAATGATAACGTTATCATATAATAATTTATTATTATTGATATTATTCTCATTAATAGTTTTATGTTTTCTATGAGACCGTTTAGATTGTGGAGGGTCATACTCGACATGCAGTTATAATTTTATTAGGTTTGGAGCCTTTTCGACCCATTAAAGTAATATAATCTTAAAGTAGGTCCACAATATTCCTATTAAACGTTCAGTTTGTTTAGTTTATTAGGGTTCATTGATTAAAGGAATTCCTTAATTTTTCATACTTAATATTGAATTTGAAATAGTTTCTTCGGCTTCTAATTAACCTTGTTTTATGAAAGTAATTTTCAATAATACAATTCAATTTTCATCCCAGTGCGCGTTATCTTCGCGGTGACAAAAAATTATGTATTTTGTTTTGCACACGAACCTAAAAATAATCACTGTGAGGATAGGTAAATAACATTGGCAGTTGCAGTCATGGCATCACGATTGACTTATAAACATTGTTATTGTTCTGTTACAGTATTATTTAGTATTAATATATTAATTTGAAATTACAGGAAGTTTTGAGAGGAATCCATCCTTTTCGATGTTGTCAAGGATGTTGTTGTTGTGCTGACAATGATTACTGCGCTATGGACATCATCATTGAAGCTCCAGTTGGCAATAAGATTGCGTTCTTTAGGCAAAGGTTTGTTCTCTTTACCAGTTGCGTATCTAGGGGGCGCGCGGGAGTCCCATACCCCAAAAAATCACGCTTAAGTAGTTAGAAAACATATTTTGCGAGCTAGCTTCCCTTCATCTTATCATCGAGCTCCCTCACCCCTTCACCTTTGTCCCCCATCAGCCGCTCCCATTTCAAGAATTCTAGATACGCCACTGCTCTTTACGTCTTTAATTATAAAAACTCAAACAAAATCAAATACTAAATTAAATCTTAATAAATCATGTTTTGCAAATTTCCGAAAATTCATTTTACATGTGATTCATAGTTTACGCTTCGGCTTTGATAATGTTTAATTTGTGTTTAGAAAGTTCTACTGTAGCCCCCGCCTTGAGCTGTTGGATGCCCACGATCGTCCAGTATTTGATATTCAGGCTCCGTGTTGTTGCCGGATGATTCAATGCCCCTGTGGTTGTACCGACGATGTAGAAATCAATGTAAGTTCAGACATACCATTTGCAAAAGTTGTTTGTTCTTGAGGTTAATCTTGTTTTCACTAATGTAGGCCTAAACAAATTGGTGTGGCCTTCCGATTAGCATCAGCTGATTAAAACTATGTAATTTGATTTGAGCTTACAGAGCCATTAATATGAATATTTTTTTAAGAAGTTAGGCCCTAAATCTTTCTAATTAATAGTAGCAAGTAAGTAGTCAATAGAGTAACATCGTTGGCACAACTATAACTCGGTTTTTATACAATCGCTACATGCTATTTCCGACAGCTATCGGTGAAGCTAGGTTTCAGGTAGGTTCAATACAATCGCTGCATCGTCGGTACAGCAATCGCTACACGCTGCCCCCCGACGTAATCGGGAATGCATCCCGATACGTCTGCAACACGATCGGCTAAGTTGAACCAGGTTAAACCTTTCCGATTTAAGCTCTGTTTCCATTGCTCAACCTAGCAGCAGTAGGCGACAGTTGCCAGGAAGGTTGAAACTGGTTCAACTTTGTCGATTGCGTTGCAGACGAATCGGGGCCAGTGGCGACGCCAGCGTGGGGACAGGGGGTGCTAAAGCCCCCCCCCCAACAGAGCTTGTCTGGAAGTCAGACCATAAAACATATAAAAATAGGCCCACACCAAGCCAACACATGTCTGTCACAGTCTGAGTGCCATTTCCGGCCATCTAGAGGTTGCTATTCTTTAAAAAATATCTCATTTGGGAGGGGACCCCTTCTCAACCCCTTCCCCAGCTCTAGCCTACGAGCTCAAGTCCCCCTGTCGGGCAACTTAGCACCCCCCGCCCCCCAAAAAAATATATCCTAGAGCTGCCACTGATCGGGGAACCTTCCCAATTACGGGCAGCTAGCAATGCACCTCTGCAACGCAATCGGCAAAGTTGAACCGGGTTCATTAACCTTAACGTCAACTGTCAGCAACTGCCGCCCATATGGTGAGCGTTTGTATGGAAACCAGGCTTTATGCTGATTGGTCGGTCGAACCAGGGAACCTTCTCGATTGCGTCGGGGGACTGCTACGCAGTACAATGATTGCACTGGAAACACTGAAGCTTAACATGCAAGAATTGAGAACAGCAGGATAAAATATAAAGGCAGAATCACACTTTTTATGACCATCCTTCTAAATTTTTATAAGAGTTTATAACTTTTTTTTGTGTAAATACTTTAGATTATAATATAATCAAGCTATAATGTTGTTTTTAAAGATTCTTGATTCAAAGAGCAAAGAACGAGTTGGAGTCATTTCCAAACAATGGGCTGGAGTTGCAAAGGAATGTTTTACCAAGGCAGATAACTTCAGCATCCAATGTAAGTCAACACTTATTGTATGACCATGTCTTTAGTAAAACAAGAAAAAACCGCTCCATCATATACGGTACAACGGTGCCAACTACTATCAACAATACACACTACCAACTATTACTGTACCCGCTACCACTGCAGTACTACTTTTCTACTCCAGTACTCTTTTTTTTTATGTTTTAGTTCCTATGGACTTGGACGTCAAGATGAAGGCTGCCCTCATCGCTGGATTTTTTCTAATGGTAAAATTTGAAACATTCATTGACTTCTGTTTAACGTCTAGTTCATTATGTAAAAAAAAAACACACAATAAAACAAATAAATATAATATCTTAGGTAAACGGAGCATTTAATATTATTACATGCATCGTCTGTTTGTTTCTCTATTAACTTCTTCAATGCATTATTTTTTGCCATTTCAGGAAATGATGTTGTTTGAGTATGGCAACAATAACTAAACAACGCGGTTCAACTCCAAATCATGGTCTTTTCAAATCAACGGCATATGTATGCCATATATCATAATAAAAATGTGAATAAATTCCTCGTTCGTGACTTCATTTAAATGAGGCCTATATAGTAATGTTGAAATATTTTATGCAGAACAACACCAACAAATATGTACAGTAGGACGTAGTATGATTAATTATGCATGTAGAGTCTGGCATAGTAATTCAAAAAAAGATAATAATGACTTAGAAAAACTACAGTTACAAATGGCCAGATTTCTACTTAAAGCTCCTCGCTGTACACCGCAAGAAGCTCTATATGGTGATTTAGGCTGGGGCCCCATTGTCAAAAACGCATAAATTACAAAATTAAATTCCTTAACCGTGTAATAAATATGAATGAAAATCGGTGGCCAAATACTTTACTTCATAGCATGCTTCAACTGAAATCCAATTTTAATGTATTAAATTACAAATTTCTTGATTCGTGTAAGAATATACTTGATAAATGTACAGATTTAAATATATTTGAACAAGTTTTTGATTTAGATAATTTTACTTTTAATTCTTTTTCTGTTAGAACTGTAAATACACATGTTGCAGACTCGTACAACGTTGAGTGGGAAAACCAAATTAACCAAAAGCCTTCTCTTAAATATTACTCAAAATTGAAATCTACACCAAGCCTCGAAAAATATCTGCTTGATAAAACTAACTTTATGGGGGTAAGTCTAAAATTTAAATTAAGGACCAACACATTTCCCCTTGATGGCAAGACCTGCAAATGGTCTAAAGAAATTACTGGTCAGTGTAACTTGTGCCAACGTGGCGAAACCAAAGATATTCGTCATTTTCTACTTAACTGTAAATCATTTGATACAATCAGAGAGGCAGAATTAGTTATCTTAAAACAAGACCTTGAACTTTGCAATGAGACTACTGCAACTAGGAATAATTTTTCCGAATCTAATGTTGATAATTAATTTTCTTCTTGGGGAAAAAAATAATCTCTTTAATGATATATATGTTGAAGCTTGCGGTACACCACGTACCGCAGTTGTGGAAAGAACTGTTTTTGTTGAGAAAGTCTCGACGTTTCGATTGAGATGCTTCAATCGTCTTCAGGAAAATAATATCTGCAGACACTCCAAAACATTTCCCTGTTTGGAGTGTCTGCAGATATTATTCTCCTGAAGACGATTAAAGCATCTCAATCGAAACGTCGAGACTTTCTCAACAACAATTCTTTTCAGAACTACTTACGTGGTGTACCGCAAGCTTCAACATATATATTATTTCTTTGCCATTCAAACCTTTAAGCAATACTCTTTAATGATGATGTTCAATCTGCATTTGGCAGATATTGTAAAACATTTTCTAAAAAAGCTTGGGATAGAAGATCAGATTTAAAAACAGGTTAAATGCTTTGTTGCTCTAGTAATACATATATTTCTCTTTTTTATGCTTTAAATTTAATTTCTTTTATATACTTTTATAACGCTTTGTATATGCCTATATATGGATTTATGTGTGTGTGTGTACATGTGTATGTGTGTATGTATGGGTGGGTATGTATATATATATATATATATATATATATATATATATATATGTAGGTAAATAGTTTCATCTGGTTTCAAATAGCAATAAATATGTATAATTCCTTGTGATAAACCGAATATTACTCACTGTTTTTTGTTGTTGACAGTTTCGTCTGGCTATCAGTCAGGCTTCGTCAGTTGCGATGCTCGTTGGTAGCGGGCCGCTCCAGCCGTCTTCAACAGTTGATCATATAGGTGTGAGAGGCGATGTGCGCCTTCGTCTCTATTCACTGTAGCTTTATTTCTCCTAATACATATTGATTCTTTAATTTTCCGTTTTAGCCACCCTTGTTCTTTGTGTAGGATATTGATGTTCTCCCAGTCTGGTATACGTGATTTTCTTGCGTCATATGATCCGTTATAGCCGATTTGTGTAATTGTGTAGATGAGGATTTTCTGCCGGCCCTTGTTCTTACTCCAACGTTATGTTCCTCTACATCTTTCATGTGTTCTTCTGTCCTCGTTTTTAGTGCCCTGTTCGTTATCTGTCTCTTATACACATCTAGATGTGTATAAGAGACAGGATTAAAACTATGTAATTTGATTTGAGCTTACAGAGCCATTAATATGAATATTTTTTTAAGAAGTTAGGCCCTAAATCTTTCTAATTAATAGTAGCAAGTAAGTAGTCAATAGAGTAACATCGTTGGCACAACTATAACTCGGTTTTTATACAATCGCTACATGCTATTTCCGACAGCTATCGGTGAAGCTAGGTTTCAGGTAGGTTCAATACCTGTCTCT